CGCCGAGTTCGACAGCATGCCGGGGAGGCGGACGTTCTGCTGGGTCAGGTGACCGGCGATGGCGAGCATAGCGATGCGCCCGTGCTTCACCTCCACGTACCGGAGGCGCTCGAACCGCTCCTGGTCCGCGTCGGCGAGGAGGCCGAGCGGGTCCCAGAATCCGAGCGGGGGCTGCGCGCCGATCTCCGACTCGAAAGACATCTTCATGGCGGAGGACGACTTGGCCGGNCCGTTCGGCATGTCCGCGAACGACAGGTCCGCCGAGTTCGACAGCATGCCGGGGAGGCGGACGTTCTGCTGGGTCAGGTGACCGGCGATGGCGAGCATAGCGATGCGCCCGTGCTTCACCTCCACGTACCGGAGGCGCTCGAACCGCTCCTGGTCCGCGTCGGCGAGGAGGCCGAGCGGGTCCCAGAATCCGAGCGGGGGCTGCGCGCCGATCTCCGACTCGAAAGACATCTTCATGGCGGAGGACGACTTGGCCGGGGTGGCGACGGCGGCGCCGTTGAACGCGCTGTGGTGTTGGTGGTATCCGTGGGGGTGGGCGAACGTGGGGGGAAACGGCGAAAAGGGTAGGAGAGGGAAGAAGGGAAAACAGGAACAAGGATTAGATTCTGGAGACCACTTTCAAGCGGATTTGAAAAGCTGAGAGCAGGCACTGGCGGCAAATTCCCTCTCAACAACGCGGAACATTATTTGCTCAGCAGCTGACGTCCAATCATGTGCCCGAATGTCCTGCTTGACAGTGAATATTTTTCCTGGCTTTAAATTCCTGCGCGTATGCCCCTACGCAGCTAGCAGTGGGATCGAATGTTCGTCGATTGAAGGCAAGGATCGCAAGAGAAAAGGTGGAGAATACTGGTTGGAGGGTCCGCTATAGATGCCGTTTGTTATTAAAAGTGAAAAAAAGTGTAGTCTATAGGGGCGTCCGCGAATACATGAAAAAGAAACACAACACAAAAGCGAGGTGCTCCTGGCCGCGAAATCCCCGCCAAAGCAGAGGTTCAACCACGGCTGACGCGTGAGATACGTTGGGGGACTTGAGTCTATTGAGTGGAATCGACGGAGACTTGTGCCTCTTAACACACAACAGCAGTGTTGTTTGTACACAACCTTCTTCATCTCAAAGCAATAAATCGCGGGTCGTTGTGCCGAGACAGCGTCGTGCGTGCAAGGAGCGAGGTACTTACGAGTGAGCACGTACGCACATGCAAATGGGTTCTCTGTCACGTTAGTCTAGCTGATACAACTCGTTGTTTTCATACCCTGCGCACCGATCTGCTGCCACCGAGCCGCTGCTAGAAGTAGGCGCGCGGGAGAAAAGGAAGGGCACACGCAGTTCTTTCAGTTGGGACGAACTTGAATGTGGAGGCAACGAACTTTTCTGGACATCGATTTCTGAAACCTGAAGCGGGCTCTCCACAACAGCAGGAGAGCGGCTGGAGTGTGGGATAGACGAGAGCGGGCACACTAGCACCACCGCGAACAACAAACGGGCGCATGATCACCTTATCGTGTACCCATGACAAGAATCACAGCAACCGAGCGCATGCGATCAAGCAGGCCTCCAAACAGCTGCTCTCACCTGGGTGCCACGAAGGCTTGGGCTCCGGCCACGCAGGCAGCGGCTACAACGCAGGACTTCATCTTGATGTGAGGTGGTGGTGTGGGGAAGAGAAAGGTGCAGGTGTGGTGGGCAAGAAATGGAGTGGGCGAAGGTGGCGGGGGCGTGGGCTGTCGTTCCAGAGAGAAAATCGACCAGCCGTCTCCAGATGACATCAAGTACAGCTTGGCCAATCACAGACCGCAGGACTGTTGTACACGAGCTCAGGGTTAGTTTCGCCGCATTTGTTCATACTCGAGGCCTGACGGCCCGACCCACTACTAGATAATAGGAAAAATAAACACACACACAGAAAGACTACCAGTTCGAGATGTTCCCACTACTGCTATACGGGCGGTTGTGAGTTCTTCGACTTGCGTTTCTTGCGGAAAACAGGGTGTTGCGTCTGCGCCAAGCGCTCTGACGTTCGAAGCAGTTGGATCTACGATCTCTATCTTTCCCACAGTTTCAGAGATGTGTCTACGTCATCCTGCGTCACGTGATTCGGTTTTCAATGGCTTGGGGCGATTTTTGAAGAAATCTTGCGCGACGCGGAAGCTAGTATACTTCGCCGTTGTTGACATCCTGTCGGCTTGTGTTTCTTGCAGAGCGAGAGTGGCAGTAGTGCTATGCGCCAAGCCCCCTGAGATTCGAATCAGTTGGGTCTATCGATCTAGTCTACACATCTCGTTTTTCCTCCACCACTGCTGTAGCTTGGTTCCGAGCGAGCGCGAGTCCCTGCTGTGTCCACATCTTGACTGTCTCGCGATCCGGAGTTGCGTGAATTTTTTTCGGCGTGTCTTTGGGGACGAATTTCGACGAACACGATCCGGGAGCCCTCCCTATGCATCGCCTCTTGTCGTTCTCCCTCCTCTAGTCTATCTCCCGGCCTGATTTCCGACGTACAACAGGATGGATCATGTAGTCTATGTGACCTCTGCCGCAGCATTCCTTTGGCTTTCAGAGCAGACTTTGTGGTTTGCGGTCTATCTTCATGAGAGCGCAGTAGTACAGCTAGGCCTGTCCTCCATCGGCCGTATTATTTTCGATTTAGATGCACAAACTTTATTTCTATACTAATTTCAAGTAAGTCCACCTTCTTATTCTCCGTCATACAAGCAAAACGGCCGATGGAGGACAGGCCTAAGTACAGCAGCAGCCAGCAGCAGCAGGTTGTTCTGGCTAGTAGCACTTTGGCCCCACCCGTCCTTCAGTTTTTTTTCACTCCTTGTAAATGACAACTCGCGGTCAGGTCCGACGATACCGCCGTATGCACACGTTATCCGTACGAAGCACAAAATAATTGGCGTTTCGCGCCACACTGACTGACTACTGCTCAAATTGAGCGATTCCAAGCCACAACGGCCACTACTATGTGTGAGACACTGCCGAGAAGAAATAGAACTCTCCAACGGCATCCTCAAGAACAACTTTCGTCTCATGGTTCATGAGTGGTACACGTCAGGGGAAGAATCTGCGAATTGCCTTCGAGAACAATAACCTCATTGCGGGAGTTCCAATCAAAAACACAAGGGAGGACAGCGCAAGCACAGCAAGTAAGTGCAAGCTTGTTTGGGTGTTCGAACTTTGTTTTCATTCACAGACCCCCGTTCAGTCCCAAATAGGTGCAAAGCGAGAACAAACTACGATCGACGCAGCACGCCTCTCGAGTGTACGCATCATGGTCAAGCCTACACGGCGACCCGACCACAACAACCTCAGAGCAAAACGGGCAACAGCATCAACCGGCACCATCGACAAGGCCATCGCGTCGCAACACCACCAGGAGCAGTCTCGGGTGGCCCGTTTCGTGTTGTATTGTGTAGTTTCTTTTGTTTATCGCCTTGCACGCGGTAGTTAGTGTAGAGAAGCAGTAGTAGTGGTTTTGGCGCGTCTTCATCGGTATATTCCCTCTTTTTCTGTGTCTGCTTTCATGTTCTCTTCTTTCAGGAAACAAGACTGACTTTATCTATGTTCGTTATCTCACAAGAGACAAACGTTCGAGTTATGAGAAAAGACCATTTTCTATCTTTTTTCCACTCTGCGGTTACCTCCAAGTATTGTAGAGAGATCAAAACGGTTTTTCATGTCGACAGCGACAACAACAGTGTGTAGAGGCGAGCGGAGGGTTGTACATGAATGTTTCACTTTCCTTTTGCCCCCGATCTCAAAATTCAACTTGAGGACTCGGTACAAGCTATTTTCGCACACCTTCTTCGAATAAAAGTTAGCCTGCCTGTTTTTTGTATATTCTTAGTATCACACAACAAATCCATCTCCATGTTTTTGTTTTTTTCACATTACAAACCGTTCGCCTGTGATAAAAGAGAACAGTTTTTGGTGCAAAGGCTTCACCACAACGACAACACAGTCAGCACGCACACCGTGGGGTCGGACGGGGTCGTGGTTCGACAGAAACGAGAGGAACTAACACGATGCGCACGTACGTTTGTTTTGCGGTGTGTGCCTAGTACCTTCAGTGTAGCAATGATGCAAGGTATGCCTGACCAAGTTCATGTCCACACTTGCGACGTGCTAGCGTAGATACCTTGCACCTAGTACGAAGCATTTAGCAAAGATGGACGAGACGAAAGCCGGTATTCATGCAGTATGCTGTGGGTGCCAACAACGTAAATACTTCGGACCGAGGTCGCCAATACGAAGCATCTACATGGGGACCTTCTTCAATACTGAAGTCAGTTTCCATGAATGCACATACGCGCTTGAACGACATCATACATACGCACATGGCGCCCGGGCTGTCAAGAAAGTGACCACACCCCACGCGCAGCAGCACCATCTACACAGATGGCGAGGAATTCAAATTGTTGTTTTCTTCTTGGTTCACGCGTAAAATCGCCCTAAAAGACGGGGAACACAAAAATCAGGACTGCCACGACACTCATCAACAACATCAATCGAATGGAAGTCCACAGACCCTTGCGGAAGAACCAAAACAGAAGTCCACGCGTTCACGACAAAACAGGGAACGAACGACTACCGTTGACCGCGGTCTTATCTCGAGTACCCAAAAATCAAGACCTCAAGAACCGCTTCGTAAAAGGGTTGCGTAAACGTTTGTTTCTCTATTCCAACCCCGAGAAAAATCTAGGAAAGACACTCGTATTGGGGAGCTAAGGTGCATCGGGGGCACGTGCAGCACACCACAACACCCGCTCCACCAACCAACACAAAAAGGTCAGCCCTTCTAGTCAAAAACCTACGGGAAACGCTTCGCGACGTCAGGGAACGCAAAAGTGGGTGGGTGGGTGGTTTAGTTGAAGGTGTACCCCGCGCCGAGGAGGTCGTTGATCACGTACGGCTTGTTGTTCAGCTCCTCGTGCACCATCAGAGCCAGGATGCCCATCTGTGCCGCGCGCCCGTTGTTCAGCTCGATCGCGCGCTTCGACGCCTGGGTCTCCTCCGACATCGCGTCCCACGAGGACGCGAACGGGTTGCCGCCGTTCGTGAAGTCTCCGGGGAAGGAGCCCTCCACGTTCTTCATCACAGCCAGCTCAAGGAAGCCCACGAACGCGAAGATCTGCGCGAGGCCCGCCGGGGGGATCTTCGACAGAGCGGCCACGCCGTTCGGCATGTCCGCGAACGACAGGTCCGCCGAGTTCGACAGCATGCCGGGGAGGCGGACGTTCTGCTGGGTCAGGTGACCGGCGATGGCGAGCATAGCGATGCGCCCGTGCTTCACCTCCACGTACCGGAGGCGCTCGAACCGCTCCTGGTCCGCGTCCGCGAGAAGGCCGAGCGGGTCCCAGAATCCGAGGGGGGGCTGCGCACCGATCTCCGACTCGAACGACATCTTCATGGCGGAGGACGACTTGGCCGGGGTGGCGACGGCGGCGCCGTTGAACGCGCTGTGGTGTTTAGTTCGTGGCAACAGGGAGAAGGCAAGGAGAGGAATACAGGGAAAATAAGGGAGAAGAAACGTATTGAAAATATTGAACTCCTTCGAAAAGCTGAGAGCAGGCACTGGTGCATCATTTCAACGGTGGACGACTCCCTCTCACCAAGTTCAACAATATTTCCGATTGATCTGACGTTGGGAATGAAATAGACGATGTTGACAGCATGTCCCGTAAATTGGTGATCCGAGTTATCGTGGGGCAGTTACGCCGTCATTCCAGAAGACAACACAGGTTGTTTGTCGCGACTGTGTTTCCGGTCCGTATTGGGGTACACGAAAAGCCTCGAGATGGGATGGGTGTGGCTATCGGTCAATGTTGAACCATAGGTTACTTCGGTTCAGAGTACAACACGGTCCAACTTCGATAGTGGGGGGCCCTCTCCTGTGCCGGGGTATGTCATGAGCGGGTGTGTCCTGAGATTTTACCGAGACAACACCGGACACTTGTCACTATTCGGGATTACAGAACGACTTGGTATTTTTAGTGTCCGAGCCGACAACACCGGCACTTTTCAAACCGGCACTAGAATCGGCACTAGCGGGTCCCCCACAAAACTGGGTTAATGAAGCTTGGCACGGTTTCATGTCTCGACCGCATTTCGAACGAGTGGAGGGCACGACCTACTAACAGTTGAGCGGGCATCACCTAACGAAAGTTAGCTGTTGCTGAGCGGTTCAGTCGGCGGCCTCTTGAATCCTTCGATCCCTCATTTGATGGATAAATACTAACCGGCTTGTACGCAATAGATTGGAGTGAAGGCAAGAACCGCCAGAGGAGAGGTGAAACACCTTCTGCGCTAGCCCAATTGGTGAGTCCGGCAATGATGCCGACTGCAACACTACACACACATGTGCTGCTCGGTGCAAACCGTAGAAAAATGCAACTTTAGTTGACGCTATGGATTCCGTGCTGATCTATCTTACACTCTTCTTTACGCTCTTTCCTTAGAGATGGATCCGTTGGGTCATACATTGAAACAAAAATAAAACATGGCAGGCGCCAATGGCAAAATGGGAAAGGCCGAAAAAGGGCATGAAAACAAAAAATAAATGGTGCCGCTGAAGGTGAAGCACCAAATCCATGCGCGAGACCACAGCTTCAACAACGGCTGACGCGTGATTTTGTTGTGGGAAGCAATGCCCGTCACGTTGGGCTAGAGTATCGTTTGAGTGGCATCGACGTAGCCTCTTGTCTGCTCGAACCTGGGCATCAGGTGTGAATTCAGCCTTACCTATCTCACGCACCTTGACGATCGTATCTCGGGTGTTTGTGGCGTTTCAAGGGAGTGTGCCAAGAGCGAGGCATCTATGAATAAGCAGGTACGTACAGCAGTAAAGGCACAAGCATTTGTGATGCTGTGCCAAGGTGTTTTTTTTTGTGTAACTATTGTCCCTATGAGCTACACCCGGAGAAGCTGCGTTCAGGCCGCTGCTATGTAGTGTAGGCGCTCGGGGAGAAGAATGGGTGGGGGCTTTGACGGTAGTTTCTCTCGCATGGTGTGAGCGGCGAAGGGAAGCACATGATGGACGAAGCATGTGGACTGCCGTCTCCTGTGCGCATCGAACATGGAACTAACGCTGAATACAGGCAGGAGAGGGGCTTGGGACAGACGGAAGAGCGCATGCGGTAGGCAGAATCACAGCACCATTGCGACCTACACACGGATGCCCGGTCTCGTTGACGCGTACCCATGACAAGAATCACAGGAACCCAGGGCGCACGTGATCAAGCGGGCCTCTCAACAACAGCTGCCCTCACCTGGGTGCCACGAAGGCTTGGGCTCCAGCCACGCAGGCAGCGGCTACAACGCAGGACTTCATCTTGATGTGAGGTGGTGGTGTGGGAAAAGAGGGGGTTGAGGGATGAGGTGGGCAGTAAACAGAGTGAGCGTGAACGGCGGGGTCGTGGGTCATGGGCTGCCAAGATGAGAGAGGACGCAATGGTTGAGAGATCTTCGAGCCCGATGACATCAACCAAAGCTCGGCCAATCACAGGCCACGGGACTGTGTTCACGAAGGCACTGCATGGTTCTTTTCGATATGTAGAAGAATCTTGCCCGACGCCGGACCAACTACGTATGAGCGGTTGTTGAGACCTTATCGGCGTGTGTTTCTTACGGAAAGCCAGGGTGACGGCAATGTTGTTACGCCAAGCAATCTGAGATTCGAAGCAGTTGGGTATATCTCTCTTTATCCTCACCAGCTTGGGAGCTGTGTCCACGTCATCACTTGTCATACGGATAACGGGTGTTTGGTTCGTCCGGTTCGTCGTTGTACGCATAGGGCGATTTTCGACGGGCGCTTGCATCGCCTCCTACCCCCCACTCTCTACAGCAGTATCTCTCACTCTGACTTCTTCAGAGAGCTATCGGGCTAGGATCATATGAGCTGCTGCACACCATTCCTTTTGCTCTCAGCAGGTTTGTCGGCGGTAGACTGCTGTCCATGTCGTATAGTCTAGTACTGTATTATATACTTTTCTCCCATCATTGGACTCTGTCGTCTGCCCCGGCCCTTATCCTCCACTTCTACCAACTAGACGACCCAACCGGGGTCACATAGGAGGGGGGGGTTGGACCCCCTCCTGCGGTTCCTGCCTGAGATATTTTTATCGCGAGAAGGGTACAGCAATCCCTTCCCTCGCGACTCATGAAGTCGATCAAGTTTACTAGCAACGAGCTTTGCAGCGCGCCGCTTCCAACGGAGGTATGTACACTAATGTATCAACCTTCAGCACATTGCCGTTTCGCACACGGGCTGGCACCCTGGCACCATCGGTTTCACTCGAGGGTTCTCCATTATCTGGAGGGAGTACAAACGAAACAGGTTGCACCCAAGCGCACACACGCCGCACTACTAAATATCGGCCACCGTCATCCGCCTGTAGCAACAACTGCTGTGCTGTGAGACCGAGTGATACTTGAAGAAACAGCGGTTCCCTCAGATCATGGCATCTGCGCATTGACATCTATGTATGTATGTAGGATGTACAGAAATATGAACTTAAACAATTTTCCCCGTCGGTGGGTGGATGGATACGGCCCATGCACGATATCTGCATCGCAACTCTATCTGTTGTAACAGTGCGTGGTACAGCAAAAAAAAAAAAGTGGTGCGTGCAGTGCTGTACCGGAAACTACCGCGCAGGCAAGAGACGTCACTTTCGGGTGAAGGAATTGTGTTTTGTCATCGTTGCCGCGGTCCGTCGGGTATTTATGTTTGTACCCTACTGGTGCTGTGCTTCCTACACAGTAGTTTCAACTTCTTTCTTTCGACGGGAATCCGAGCCGATTGCCAAAACTTGGGTTGTTGATACGTACCTGTAGTCTAGACGATATTGCTTTCAGTGTTCATGGGCAGCTTCGCATCCTCTGAATCGAGCATCATAGCAGCATCAAGGCTGCCCGCGATTGATTGCACGTGTAACCTCAATCATTGGTGGGTGATGCTTTCTGCCCTCGAAAATATCGGGGACGACGATTGATTTCCTTTAGTTTTGCGCTGCGCGTCCAACCACGAGGGACGGGAGTCGGCTCGTACTGGAAACGTCGATCACATTAACTGACGAGGTGAGAGAGGAGATGTAAACGACTGCATGAGACGCACTGCAGGTCTGTTGAGCTGTCTAGACTATACGCTTAGCAAATGCGTGCGAAAGCGCGGAACACCGCTCACCATCGGCCTCCTACTGCACGGTAACCTTCGTTGTGGTTCGTGAGTACACGTTAGTGAGGGACCTGCTAAACCGTCCTGGCGCGAAAACTGAAACCACCCACCTAATCGGAGTTCTTCACAAGAGGAGGCAACACCACCCAGCATCAAGACACTCTATACCAGCGATGATGGCAGTAGTTCGTGGTACCACCATGCTTGCTTACTGCCGAGACCTGCTCGTTGCGGGACCACTCCCTATGTCCATGCCTATCTAGTAGCCGAAGACCCTCAGGTGCACTCTGTCCTCGTGCGCGGGTCCCGTGAGCAGCGTAAACCTGCCCTTCGTGCCCAGCACTTGGTCATCCTCCCACTCTCCTGTTCATGACGACCATCATTGTCCGGGCAAGCAGAACGGGATTGGTCGTTATCAGGAGTGCGGCAAATCACTGTATATGCTATGATCAGGAACTCTTGATATTCGACGATGAAACGTCATTCCGTGGGGGTACAACAACGAGATGTTTGGTTGGCTTCTCTTTCGCTTCGTTCCAACACCTTCGTAGCAGCTGCCATCCAGGGCGGTAACAGTCCCCGGACCGGTCTTCTTGTCCCGACTGAAACGGCCCCTGAAAATGCTGCCATCCGCGTGCAAAAGGGTCCCTTCGCCGTGCCTCATGTTGGCAACCCACCTGGTCGGTGGGAGCAAGAGACCGAACAACACGTGCTGCTGTGATGCTCTTTGTTGTCATCGCTGTTGTTGCTTTTGCTGATGCTGTTTGGCTGATTTAGTGAAGAAACAAGACTTCTCTCCGTCCACGCCAATATGAAAGGCGGGAATAGTTGGAGGTTGGGGAGCTGGGATAATTTATATAAGTGACCTCCACATGTTGCTGTTATCGTGGTTGCTGCTGCTGCTGCTGCTGCTGCTGCTGCTGCTGCTTCTGCTTCTGCTGCCGCATTGAAAACCGTGCTGACCTATGTCCAAAGTGCCATCTCCTCGTCAGTACTGCTCAAGGCAAAGCAAGCCGTCTGTGGTCAGTACGAAGCCAACCCGCACACCTGGGGCGATAGAAACTGAATAATTTTCCAAGCCTTATCATTGCAAAAAGTAGCAATTGTAGCCGCCCGAAGTATCAGAAGTACGACAAGCAGCGTAGGGCAGAGAAGCCACAAAGGGAACTCGCAGAGCCCCATGCTCGTGAAGAGAGACTAGACTGACAAGGAACTGGATGTAATGAGCATGACTACAATATCATAGAGTTTTTTCGTTGGGAAATCATTTCCTCCTAGACTGTTGTTGCTGCCTCATAACTTGAACCTTTCGACTCATCTTCTCTCGCCTTCTTCTGTGTTGCCTACACTCACAAGTACCGCTATCGTCGTGGGGGGAACCGCGTGTTCACATGTTGCGTGAGAAACAAAAGAAAAACAGCAAAACCGTTGCGGCCACACTCCCCGTCCAGATACCCAACTCGATCCGTTGTTCTTGAAGCTCATGCTGTTGTACATTCAACCCGTTTTGTACTCACTTCCCCTGGTACTGAGACCCGTCCGCCCAGACCATGCAGCCGGTCCCGTGCTTCCGCTCTCGGTGAAACTGCCCCTTGTAAAACGAACCGTCTGCGAAGCGGAGGAGACCATGGCCGTGCCTCAGGCCGTCCTCCCACTCGCCGTCGTACACCTAGTTGTTGTGTCATTATGGTATTTTGACATGTTTCAATTTTCCTACGCCGAGCGAGAGAAAAATACACCACGTGATTATCGTGCTTCGGAATTACCCTTTGTGGACATGATGAAACGAGCAAAACAATGTCAGTATTTGTCGTGTTTCAACGCCTCAAGTGCGAGACCACGGCGTGAATAACCATGAGTACACGCTCTGTCTCTCTGTCTCTCTGTCTCTCTGTCTCTCTGTCTCTGTCGCTCTGTCGCTGTCTATGTCTCCGTCTCTCTGTCTCTCTGTCTCTCTGTCTTTCTGTCTCCCTCTCTCTC